GAGAACTACTAGGAGTACGACTTTCGCTCTTCTCAAAAAGAAAAATAGACACCCGGAAAGCTCCATTGTACTTTTGATTCACCACAAAAGTTAGCACTGTTACTTATTGAAGGAGTTTAAGCCCTCTCCCGACCGAAAATAATAAAACTTAGCTTCTAACATTTGATAACTTGTTTTCGTCACAACGACATTCTCGGCAAAACTCGTAGTAGAATGACGACGGCTATCACGTTTTCCCGCCAAAATGACACTGGTTAATGCGCGCGCACTGCTTAGCATTAAGAAAATCTCGTACTCGTAGTCGTCCTCGTCTTAAAAACTAAAGGTCTCAAATAACGTATGTAATGCATGTATCTTACAGGTTTGTGTAGGAAGAATAGTATCATGGATAATGCCCTCGTACCAGATCAGGCCACCGATTGATCCATCACTCTTAAGCCAGGATCCTACACAGGTGATGCAAAACTACAGAGAAACTCAGCCGAGTTTACTTTCGCAAAGAGGTCTGGGATTGTTACTAAGGACAGAGAAAAAGATTGGCCAATAGCTGACCGGCGTGACCCCAGTGACAATCCAAGAAACAATCGCGGGTCAAATTTCTTCTCTAATAAAATTCCCTTCTCGTTTCTAAAAAGGCGAATAACACAATTGAAAACTGCTCTCTTTTCGTGAGTCAAAGGAGAGGGACTTTCGTATGCATTTTATCCGCGTTTCCAAAAAAAGTTTCCACGACTTTCGAACAATGCCGAAAATATTCAGGTTTGTCGAGGGTTATTCTGTCCTGTTCAATTGATCAACCCTAAGATTATACCCCCGGTGGGGGAGGGCGGGGAGCTACTCAACAACGTTTTATATGGTAAGGCACCACCCCCTGACCTAACTCCTTACACATTTATCGTTGAAGGAGCTCGTCGTGTTTTTTAGGGTTGGAGCCTCCCCATAAAAAATTCAATGTCACTCAGTTATTTGCACAATCCATTTAGTAACCAAAGGTCTTACAACAAGTCGAATTTCCTTGAGTACCAGGCGTCCCTCGCGCCTTCTACTCTCTCGCGCTTGACTTGTGGCAAGTCTAGGACTTCAATAACACAATGCACCTTGTTTATTACTATTGTTTTAGGTTGAAAAGTATGCCAATGATAGCCTAAACTGGCATGAGGGAATGAAAGTTAGATGGGCGGGAGCTATATTAGATGCAATGAATGAAATCCAGGGGAACTTTTCAAGGCTTACAACATCTTATCTACTTGTCCATGGTGATGGAGATCAATTAGTGAAGATTGACGGTTCACGTTACTTACATGAGAGTTCCCCAAGTAACGACAAGACATTTAAGGTACACGAATGAGCTGCTTTACTGACAGCACTGAGAGAACTAATAGCCTCTCTATGGGTATTTCCGACGAATAGTCAGGGCGCTTGACGGTATATCATGATGGCAGGAAGATGCGGTCTTAAAACGGCGTTTTTTCATGTGGTGATATTGTCCTGCCCGGGGTACGAGTTTCGGCCGCTTTGTTCCAAGCGTAATTATTGTAAACTTATCCCAACAAAAGTCGTGATTTGTCTAAACCCTTTTAACCCCAAGAGTGACCAATATCTATTTTCTCGTAACAATGTCACCACATTTTCAAGGAAAAAGGTTATGAGAATGTATAAAATAATCACCAAAGAGGAAATTCTCGTCCCCAAACGGGTGTCTAAAGAATAATACAGAGTTTTCCCTCTTCGTCCAATTTTCCGTCCCGTTGTCATTTTTAAATCTACCTATTATTATTTCATTATAAACTCAACTGCGTGTAAAACTTGCTTTGCAGGTGTACAAAAATGGACGCCATGAACTTTTGAATGAGGTGGAACAAACTGCGAGCGTGGTTTACAAGGACATTCTTGACTGGATTCAGCAAAAGCTACCTTGAACTGTTTTAGGGCCACGTGCACACGAATCCAGACTAATTTTTGAAACTGCATATTTTTTCACCCGCATTCGTGTAGACGAGGCCTTAAACCACTCTGGAGAGCGGTTTCAAAAAGATATCAGGCTGACTTAGCAATAGAACGGGAACGTCAGTTGACGACGACGCGCGCAAATCAAACAACTGGCTTGGCCAATCACAGAGCAGCAAATTGAGCAATGGAAGTCGCGTTTAGTCCTTTCCGCGCGCTTTCCCGTTGTCAACTGATGTTCCCGCTCTGTTGCTAAATCAGCCTAATGTTTGGGTGAGAGGATTCACCGGTTTCGTGCGTGGACGGAATACCAGACGGAAGGCCGATTCATGTGAAAAATATATCTAAATGCGCTTTTAAAAATATCCGGATTTGTATGGACGAGGCTTTTCACGATAGTGTCAATCCACAAATATGACCAGAATCATTTCGTTTTTTTTTTTTTAATTTCTTTCATATTTAATTCAGTAAATTCAGGAACCTTAATTTGCATGAGAAAGCCAAATTTTGTGGGATTCTAAAAAAGGCCGTTTCCAAGATGACGTCATTTCAACATACCAGATTCCTTCAGGGTTTTGCTTTCTTGCGTAAGTTAGGGCTTTTGTTATTTAAACCTCAGTGGGATTACCAAATTTAATTATAAAAGAAAAAATGAAATGAATTCCTTTAGTAGCAAAACCATGTCATCGCGTAAATAGCCAATTAGGCCCCGTGGCCCCAGTAGCCTTGCAGCAGTTCAGAATAGACCCCTATGTGTCGCAGTTCTTTTGTTTTCGGGCTAGGTTCCAAACTTTGTTTGTTCATACTTTTCCCCGCCAATAACGTGACGTCTTCCAAGAACTGCAAGGTCCCTCCTTATAGGAAGAAAAGTCGCCCCGAGTAGAAGAGTCCCTCGCCTATCCCAGCTACCGTTGGCGAGCCAAAATTTCCTACATTTCCTTACCGAAACTTGGCGTTTAAATACACTAGAAACAAATAGTGGGCTAGAGCGCTTTTTCAATGGTAAGGTCACCTTTCTAGCTAAGCCGGGTCAACTCGGTCAAGGCGAGAGAATCAGACCATGCGGGAGCGCTGTTTTCAGCTCTAGGCTTGGGCAAAGGGGCCAACTGTTTATCATATAAACACTTGCTTAAGTTGACTAGGGCTGGGAGGGTAACCCCGGGGAAATTTTTCTCTATGTGAACGGGGCCTCGTTCGCATGTTTTCTTGATATAGATTCAATAAACAGAACAATAACTCTTCACGTGCATCACACGTTTTTGGTAAATTTATTCGCCGTCACTACGTTATACGGAGGACATAAGCACCCAAGACAAATTTATTTTTCTCTATTTACACTTTGATGTCAGTGCTCCCCAAAAATTCCGTTCCACGGAAAAACCCCCTTAAATTTGACCAAGTTAGCCAATTAAGATAACCCCCACACATTTTAAAAGTACGCCATATAGCTTTATAAATGACGTTTCGCTACCGTCGCCCCCCTAATGTCGAGCGTATTAAATCTCGAGCAACTGACGTTCAGTCAGAGTCAATCTCTGTATTTTGAACGCCATACGTTAGTAGTTATGTCTCAGGTTAGGCTGCCTGCTTTGGACTAGAAAAGGTATCAAGACGATCGAGAAACGTACCCCACGTGGTTTTGAACCCGGTGGGCTAAAATTGACTGGAGACCTCAGAGACGAAACTACCGGTCACCTGGAGCGAGAGGCAACGGGCAGAAGAGATAGCCTGGGAACGAGATTGATTTACAGTTTAATGTTCCTAGATAATAATAACCTGGGATCATGTTCACCCTTAAAAAACGTAAAACGCCTATTAAAAAAAAAAAACGATGAAACATGAAAAACTGTATAGCTTTACACTATTTCCTTGTTTCTGTTTTCGTCTTTTGTGGCTATGGTTTGTATTTTTGGATTCTGTTTCAGTTTTGCGGTTTAATTTTGTATTTTTTTGAGTGTGTTTCCTGTTGGGGATGCTTATTTCCGTTTTGGGATTTGTGTTTCTGTTTTCTGGCAGTGTTTTTCTGTTTTGGGTTTCCCGTTTTGTCTTATGTGTTCCTGTTTTGGGTTTGTTCTCTCCTATTTTTGTTGCTGTTGTTGTTGTCCTGTGGTTTTTTGTTTCTATCGGCCACCCTATATATTTGATAGTCCTCTGCATTTAAATCCAACCACTGGAGAACACTTCAAAACTCCGTTGAAAATTTCTTCACAGAGATCAAATCGTCTAGGTAAGAAATAATCTCCTTTAACTTGAAATTTGTCTAATCAGATTTTTCTGCAACGTTTATTTTCTGATACCCTGCTGTAGTTTTTTTCCCTCTCCTTTTTACTTACAAATAATTAATAATAAGTTAGACCGGTTTGCGAACGCGAAGCAAAGTATGTTTGTTCCAGGTTAAGCAAAACGTCCGACTAGAATATTGTTTTGACCGATTTGTGTTTCTCTCCCTTCGTTGTCTCCCTTTTCCGCTACTCTCTTTCACTTCCTTTCCACCCCTCCCCCTCCTCCGCCTCCAAATCCCCAACCCCTACCCCTCCTCCCACAAGCAACGCCGGATATTCAGGATAATTTGTGTTAAATGTGGATCTTTCATGTTGTAGACGTCACAGATTTATAATAATTTTCATTTATATGACAATAGCTAACGAAAAAAGACCTGCTTTGTACATAAATTTGTGAAACTAAGTCTTGCATCGATTAATAAGAAATTAAGGTCATGAACTTGGTTAGTCAACACATCTTTCCTCAAACAGCTGCCTTTTAAATTTTTCAATGTGCATTGGGACTTATGTAAATTGTATTGTTATTTATTTCTGCTCTATGTAAGGCAAACAATTTAAAATTTGGTGTGGTTTTCTAGTTTGTGGTCTCTCTGAATTTTGCACGTAATGTTATTGTCAGCGGGCAGCAGACTCATTTTTGAGGATTAGACCAAGCCCCATTTCTCTGGATTTAACCTGTGTACAGCCGGCCCCTCCCGTCAGAAAAAAAACATTATTTTTTAGTAACGGAGGGGCGCCTATACACAGGCTATTTGGACTGAAACATTTCATGTAAACTAGATGGGGAAAGTGTTGTGGCTATCAATAACAGAATCATCAAAGCACGGCTGCACAGTGAGAAAGCCGTGTAACCTTGGTATTTTCCTCTTGGTGTTTAGATAACAAAATCTGCGCTTTCTACTCATGTAAGAATTTTACAAAGAAGTGGAATCCGAAGATAATTGGACTTGCTTCGGGCCTTTAGCGGTTTCTTTTGACATCCTTGCACGAGCATGAAACTAAACAATAAGGTCAAAAAAGATAGTAATATTTCTTTTTATTATAGAAACACCAATGAAATACAAGGTGAGCTTTTACACGGAAACATGATCTCCACATATGAAAATAACATGTTATAAGATCACCGTTGCTATGGCTACATAATAAATCGCGCCTTTCGCAGGAAAAAAATGTCTAACTGAAATGGTTTTGTATTTCATTGGTGTTTATATAACAGATAGAACATTACATGGCCACTTGAATTGGAGATACTTGTGTACTTGTGCACGGCCATGTAATATCCTCGATGTGCCACATATTCTGCCATAAAAACCTTAGGGATAGAAGTGTTCCGATCCATACATTAAAGGTGAATTATTCAAAACCCTCAAAATTGACCTAAAAATCGACCTCAGAAAGCCCGGCCCAAAAAGGCTGATGTATACCTGACACCAAAACAGGGACAATCGAGCTAAAACAATGGCATAATGTATAAGTCTCCATAATAGTAACTAAGTGTACCAAATTTGAGCAAAATCAACCGACACCTATTTCCGATCCTCCCTCAGAAGAAGCTCTCAACTATATTTTCATTTGGTATCACAGGAGTTTCAAATATCATGTTTAGTTTTTGTACTTAATGAAACCTTTCTTGTTTTCTGAATATTTAAGTAGCGTCCAAAGGAGATTTTTTACTTTCAACTAAGTTTATAGAAAGAAGTTTAAAAGGAATCTGCTCGAAATATTCTGTTATAACATCAATATTCAGAAATTAACAAAAAAATTCAGAAGATTTGTCAGTTGGAGTAAATCTAGGGTGGAAGGAGTGGAAAGTTCTAGCTACCTTATCAGTCTAATGGGAACATGTTCTAAGACTTCAAATGTATTAATGAGAATTATTTTCGTTTTTTCTCTACCTCCACGCTCCTTTAAAGAAGCATTACGCCCAAGAAACAGTTCCACTTTGAAGACTAAAACTTCGAAATGGCAGAAAGAATACTACAAGATATAGCTGAACAAAAAAAGCGTCTTGCAATAGCGCAAATCAAGAAAAACACGG